TTCCTTTTTCCACTTACACCTCTCGATCATACCGACACTCGCACGCATACATTCACATATACTCGCGTGGAAGCAACTCGCGGAGATAAAAATCAGTAATTAGCCCGGACCATTATGGCGGCTGTGTGAAAAATTAGCGAGTCGTGGGGTAACCGCCCCTCTGGGCATAATCCTGCATCGGTAACGCCGCGTACCAACGTGCATCCAACCTGTCTCTGATTTATACGGGTTTGCTATTAATTATACCCACCCACTAGTGGTGCTCGACCACCGTTCCTCCGCTTTCTCCATATCGTCTCTTCGTCCCTGTCTTTTTCTCCATCGTCTATATACTCTATCATTCGTTTTTTTTTTTTTTTTTTTTTTTACTCTTTATACACGCATTTGAGCTTTTGCAAACGCTCATTTACGTCTATATAATTAGCAAAAAACGAAATGTATAGGCAACTTTTTTTTATATGCTTTTATAATTAATTTCGGATAAACTTTTAACAGAATCTTAATTTGAATAATTATTAAAACATAATATTTACACAGAAATTACAAAAACAAGAAAAGAATTAAATTTTAATGAACAAATTTAATATTATTCCTATGTTATTTGAATAAATAAAAAAAAATTAAAATAAAATTGATTTAAAATGTGACAACACATTAAGGGAGAACAGAGAGAAAGTATGTTTATTAAAATGAGATTATTTTTATAGAGAACGAATGCGCATGAAATCCCAAATCCCCCGCGCGATTTTGCAATAAGCGCGCTTTTGCAATAAGCGCGCTTTCTCCGAATCAACTTTTGGCCGTTGCGCCAAATGTTTTTATTTTGTTTTACACGCGCCAAAGAATTCGAGCCATCGCGTCCAGCCGAAAATTCCGTCCCGGGTTTTGCGCCCGGTCGTTGTTTCGACTGGCCGCTGGCCGGACTCGACGGGCTGCGGCGCAATTAAATTAAATGCTTCGGATTAATTGTTCGAAAGCAGTTAAATTAGTTGCGTTTGTTTCGCCCGATTTTTGCGCAATCTCGCTGCGGAATGCGTGAGATGCACGCATCGGGGGAATTTCGTTACCCTCGCGCGTTATATAGCTCGGTGCCCTGCGAAATCACCGCGATGCAAACGTATCAACGCGGAACGGTAACGTGTGCCCCCGAAAAATTCATTTGCAAAAGCCGCATTCGACGCGCCTCTGTCTCACACGCATACACACACATACACACATTTATATATTTATGTATACCAAGCGGGAGAGGAGCGATTGAGAGCGATGCGCCGCATTTTGCCAGTACTCGATTAAAAGCTTAAACAGGAGTCGACCTAATTATTAATGTAATACACAGATAATGTATATTTCATGACCGTAACAGCGAATTTAATGTATAGCTTGAAATTTTTAAACATCGCTGACCAGAATTAAACCACCAAATTACAACATTTATAAATCCACACATAAATCTATATTTATCTCCTTTTATATTTCCATTTTCATGTAAAATACACAATTCCATATTCGGAATGAAATAAAATACATAATTTGCGGTATTGTGTTCTACATCAAATATCGCTAATAAGAGGAGAGAGAAAAAAAAAAAAAGAATACAAGATCGGAAAATAATTCTATCATCCTACGGTGGTTCGCAATTTTCCTTCGACATAACACGAGGAAAATTTCCCCCATTAGCACGCATACCAACAGCCGCTGAAGACCATCCCCGCGATGCCTCCCCGTCTCGATGATGCTCGGCCGGCCAATCCCCATCGAGGATCGTATAACCCGGTATACTCGGCAGCCGGAGAGCCGCATCCTAGAGTGCAGCTGCAGCGCCGGCGCGGACTCTTGAGCCGCATTGCTCGGATTCTGGCGAGGATGCGTCTAGGAGCGAGAGGCTGACGAGCTCGCAAGTAACGCGCCGGTAGACATGGTCAGACTGGCATCCGGCCGCAAGCTCTCGACCTCATCGGCAACCATGAGATACACCGGCCTACCCGAGAGTCCACCCGGCTTTCGAGTTGGGTCTCCCTACCACCCCTTTCCATTCTCTCGGTCTTCATTCCTAAGATAGAGAGATCCTGATGCGCTTCGGCCCAACCCTCGCTGCTTCTGGGTGCGAGACAGCCTCGGGACGCGACGTACCGAGGAGAGATATGCATCATTTGGTTACCCAACTAGCGCGTTTCCCGATCGGCGTGCCACCCAGATGCATCCTCGATCGGATTGGCTCCGGGCGATCCGGTATGCGAAAGGGTCCTCCAGTCAAGATTTTCAGCATAACTATGCGAGTATGCAATGTCGGATCCGGATCCCGATGAGTCTGCGTTCCGATATGTCCGCGTGTCGGCGGGCCCGATTATGCACTCGTGTGCTTCGTTACTGGAGAACATTACGTCGCTCGCTAACCGTAATACTAGCGGAAGAGTAATGGGGGCGTTAATACGAATACCGTATCGGCGCAAGCTCGTCCCCATTTTCGCGATATTAGTAATACATCGGAAACTTTCATCTATCTTTTTACTTCTTCGAGATCTTAAGAGCAATCCGACTAAATCAATTCACCGCTCGTCAAACATCTACATTTTTGTCAAGTGACTTTCGTTGGATGAATGAAAAATATCTAATATATATAATCTATGTAGAATAATCATCGTTTCGCTTCATTTGAATAATAAAGTCTAAATTTTCTCAAACGATATCGCGATTCTCCGAAAAGATGTTCCGAACGATTCTCTTTCCGTAAGGGTTCTAAAAACGCGACGGATACGCGATACACGGAGCGTTCGTTCATCCGGTAACGCGCATACCCGACACCGAAATTGCATACCTCCGTGTACGCGTACATACGGGTTGGAAACAAACGAATAGGGTTGTTCGGGCGCCGTAAAGGGTCCGGTGGAACGAGATGGCGAGGAGACGCGGGAGGGGGCTCGCTCGGGGGGGTTGAAGGGAGCGAAATGGCGGTGGATGGTGGTGCCGGTGACTCGGTCGCACGTAGAGACCGAGGGGTTTGGGAAACGTAATCGCTCGCGCGCCTCAACGGACTATCCCACTCCCTCTCTTTCCTCCACATGCGTTTCGTCTTTCTCTCTTTCTCTCGTTCTTCAACCCCCGCACGTCCCACTGCTATTTATTGCTCACACTCGGCCGGTTCACAACATAAATATGTTACACCTATGGCCGCACCTATTGCACCGAGTCCGCGAATTCCTCTACCGCTGGCCGAACGAAGAAAGAATGTCCGCAAATGGGGCGAATGGTGGGTGGATTGGTATGTTTTGGGAATAAATTGCCTCGTTTGCCACGCTGAATGTCGTGCTCGTACGTACTTTGAAGTAAAGTAATAAATTTCAAAATTTTCTAATTAATTAAATAAATTACGATATACGTAATTTTGTAATATAGAATATATTTATCTTCTTTATATATGTATATATATTTGTTTGATTGTAAATGAATTTTATTTTAATGCATATATGTATGATTTAAATGTTATAATTGCAAAGACAGTTTACTAAAATATATTTTGCGATAAGTAGGTAATGTTTTACAAATGCTTCGACATATTTATTACGAAAAAATTATGTTCAAGTTGGCCAGAAAATTCATTAATGTACAAAGGAACATAGTAGATCTATAATACATATATATTAAAGTAAGAATCAATTATCTAAAATATGCAATTTTTTAGTTATTTTTAGTATATTTTCTTGTATTCTAATTGATTTTTTATGTCTTTTGCATAGCATATTAAGTTGACAAAAGTAATGCAAAAATAAAAATTGGTTTGAACACATTAATCTTTACCTTTTTATAACTATAATATAATTAATTTAAAAAAATTGATTTTCAATAAAAGTATGTAAATGTTTTTTTTTAAATACTTTTTATCTTTTTATAATTATAACATAATTAAATGGATATATAAGAAATATTAAAATATATATATACATATATAAAATTATTAAATATAATTGTAAATCGTAACTTTATTTTTCTAAAAAAGCATTTAAATTATTTAAAATATAGATTTAAATGTATTATTTCTCTCTTGTCTTATTATCCTGAGTATATTTTCGCCGTGTTTTACGCAGAAAATTCCATCAACTTTTTTAAATACTTTCGTGTTACACCCTCAAGAAATGCTTCTCTTAGGGTATACGAACATAGGGTGTCTATTTGAAGGGCGGTAGCATCGAGGGTTAAGTTTCAAAGATAAAAGAAGGACCAACTGTTGAATATCGGCTCTCTTCCAGCCGACGCCAAGTGCTATTATACATCAAAGTTACTTATAGTATACAATGTATTATAATCTATAAAATTTTTTACATATTACATTTTCACATAAGCACGTAATAAAAAAATTATTAAGATTGTAGCACTATCTTATATGCCAGATTAACTTATTTTTACATAGTACTATATGCAAATTAATAATTTCTTAAATTTTATTTCATATAAATTTTCTGTATTTAACAATATATCAATCGTTGTACATTAATCAAAAGATAATATAAAAATATTATAAGAATGAATTAAGATTTTCTCTCACTTCATTAATTATATTATAATAATTTCATATAAATATCAACAGAAATGGAATAATATACACAATATATTTTATATCTTAATAATATTTTAAACGCGAAATAATTAATGAAATATTCTTTTGCATCATGTTTTTATATATTTCTTTCACATATATTTCAATAAAATAAAATATTCGATTTTACGCAAATGCATTTTTGTTTTGTCTATTATTCATACGTTTATTTTTGCAAATATTTTATTTAAAAAAAATGTTAATATATATATGTGAATTTCAATTATCATTGATTATTACTGATATAATTATGTCTAGTGACAACATCTTTAATTATAATAAAATTGAAGGAGACACACGAATATACTTTTATACAAATGACTATAAAAGAAATATATTTTAATGCATATATAGATAAAATTATTTACCTAATTTTATAAATAATATATAAAATAAATAATTATCTAACCTTTGTCCGTAACTCACGTTGAACCGTCTTCGCCGATAGCTCTTGATTCTCAATGAAGACTCGATCTCAGCAGGTTTCCCGAAGCACGACTAAATCTTTCACGTCACAATAATATAATACGACAACGACTCAGTCGATCGTTTATATAAAACGTGTTGAAGTTGGAGGGGAATGAGACAGAGAAATAGAGAGAGAGAGAGATAAATATCGGGGCGAAGAGAAGGGGTATGAAAGAGCAAGGGGGATGAGGATATGTAGAGGGGGTTGAAGGGTATGAGTTACAGAAAGAAGCTATTCGGAAGAATCGCGACGAGAAACGTAACGGAGATCCCTCTCGTACAGAAACGCGCTCTCCGGCGACGAGAGAAAATATCTTGGCGAGCTCTCTCTCCCTCTCTTTCTCTCTCTCTCGTAAGTTCTCTCGCAAGTGCCCGCTCTCGCGCGCGCACCGGGCTCTCGCAGCTCCGCGAATGCACGTGCAACTCGGACGCGTGCCACGTGGTGTTTGGTCGGAGTGGCACGGCCGCGAAAGCCGGAGCCGGAACGGCGAGCTTGCAAGCACTCGGCGCTTTCCATTGGCCGATGGGTGGAAACTGCGCATGATTGCGGGTGTGGCCCGAGCTTGAGGGGTGGAATAAGCTCGGATCGGCGATAGGACATCGCGTGAGAGGGCACGTCTTCGTGGGTGGTCACCGGGTACCCCCGGTCGCCATCCCGCCCCACTGAAAGCTCGAAAGCTCTTTTTCCTTAATCTCGTAACGAGCGCGAGAACTGCTCTCCCGTCCGAGTTTCCAACTTGCGAATTGGCTTCTTCCGCGCGAACGGGCGTGCTCTTTCGTGGCGATGGTATGGCGGCACTCAAGTGTTCATCATCGCGTGGAAAATTGCGCGGCGAACGCGGGAGATTAAGTCTGAAGTGGTAACGTTAGCGTTAAGTCAGACACCTCGGTATACATATGAGATACTTCGAAAAAGCGATCTTCGAGTGAATAGAATTTATCAAACGACCATGTAAGTGATATAAATTGGAAAAATAAAAATTGTTATGTAATTTTACACCGGCAGAGCTATTTATAATAGCATTTTCAAGAACATGTATTGCGTTAGGCAGAAAAACAAAATCAATATATTTTTCATAAATGATATCTCTAATTGTAAATTTTAAGAAATATTGACAGCTTTATATCTTGAAAAGAAAACAATTTTTTAGTATGATTCATGAAATAAACTAAAAAGTATACGAAAATTTATTCAAAATTTTTATTTAAACGTTCTGCGTTTATTTATTCACGCTATTTGAGACGACAAACATAGGAGATAGTAAGTTTCAAGTGGTAACGTCAGCGGTAAGTCAGACACCTTAGTATACGTATATAATACTTCGAAAAAGCAATCTTGCAATGAATAAAATGTTATAAAAAGATCATATCAAACCTTTCACGTTTATTCATTCGCGCTATCTGAGACGACAGACGCAAGAGATTAAGTCTCAAGTAGTAACGTTAGCGATAAGTCAGACACCTTAGTATACGAATATACTTCGAAATAGCAATCTTGCAATGAATAAAATTTTATAAAAAGATCATGTCAAACCTTTCACGTTTATTTATTCGCACTCTCCGAGACGACAGACGCAAGAGATTGAGTTTGAAGTAGTAACGTCAGCGATAAGTCGGACACCTCGGTATACGTATGAGATACTTTGAAAAAATGATCTTGCAATGAATAAAATTTTATAAAAAGATCATGTCAAACCTGTCACGTTTATATATTTGCGCTATCCGAGACGACAGGCGCAAGAGATTAAGTTTCAAGTAGTAACGTCAGCGATAAGTCCGACACCTCGGTATACATACAAAATACTTCGAAAAAGCAATCTTGCAATGAATAAAATTTTATAAAAACATCATGTCAAACCTTTTACGTTTATTCATTCGCGCTATCTGAGACGACAGACACAAGAGATTAAGTCTCAAGTAGTAACGTTAGCGATAAGTCAGACATCTTACAATTAGTATACGTATATAATACTTTGAAAAAGCATTCTTGCAATGAATAAAATTTTATAAAAAGATCATGTCAAACCTTTCACGTTTATTTATTCGCGCTATCCGAGACGACAGACGCAAGAGATTAAGTCTCAAGTAGTAACGTTAGCGATAAGTCAGACACCTTAGTATATGTATAAAATACTTCGAAAAAGCAATTTTGCAATGAATAAAATTTTATAAAAAGATCATGTCAAACCATTCACGTTTATATATTCGTACTATTCGAGACAACAGACGCAAGAAATTAAATCTCAAGTAGTAATATGAGCGATAAGTCAGACACCATAGTATACGTATATATACTTCGAAAAGCAATCTTGCAATGAATAAAATTTTATAAAAAGATCATGTCAAACCTGTCACGTTTATTTATTCGCGCTATCCGAGACGACAGACGCAAGAGATTAAGTTCAAGTAGTAACGTCAGCGATAAGTCCGACACCTCGGTATACATACAAAATACTTCGAAAAAGCAATCTTGCAATGAATAAAATTTTATAAAAAGATCATGTCAAACCTTTCACGTTTATTCATTCGCGCTATCTGAGACGACAGACACAAGAGATTAAGTCTCAAGTAGTAACGTTAGCGATAAGTCAGACATCTTACAATTAGTATACGTATAATACTTTGAAAAAGCAATCTTGCAATGAATAAAATTTTATAAAAAGATCATGTCAAACCTTTTACGTTTATTCATTCGCGCTATCTGAGACGACAGACACAAGAGATTAAGTCTCAAGTAGTAACGTTAGCGATAAGTCAGACATCTTACAATTAGTATACGTATATAATACTTTGAAAAAGCAATCTTGCAATGAATAAAATTTTATAAAAAGATCATGTCAAACCTTTTACGTTTATTCATTCGCGCTATCTGAGACGACAGACACAAGAGATTAAGTCTCAAGTAGTAACGTTAGCGATAAGTCAGACATCTTACAATTAGTATACGTATATAATACTTTGAAAAAGCAATCTTGCAATGAATAAAATTTTATAAAAAGATCATGTCAAACCTTTCACGTTTATTTATTCGCGCTATCCGAGACGACAGACGCAAGAGATTAAGTCTCAAGTAGTAACGTTAGCGATAAGTCAGACACCTTAGTATATGTATAAAATACTTCGAAAAAGCAATTTTGCAATGAATAAAATTTTATAAAAAGATCATGTCAAACCATTCACGTTTATATATTCGTACTATTCGAGACAACAGACGCAAGAAATTAAATCTCAAGTAGTAATATGAGCGATAAGTAAGACACTATAGTATACGTATAAATACTTCGAAAAAGCAATCTTGCAATGAATAAAATTTTATAAAAATATTATGTCGAACCTTTCACGTTTATTTATTCGCACTATCCGAGACGACAGACGCAAGAGATTAAGTCTCAAGTAGTAACGTTAGCGATAAGTCGGACACCTCGGTATACGTATTAGATACTTTGAAAAAGCGATTTTAAAGTGAATAAAATTTTATAAAAAGATCGTGCAAACCTTCACGTTTAAATTATATATATTATGTGATTTATTCGCGCTATTCGAGACAACAGACGCAAGAGGTTAAATCTCAGGTAATAATGTCAACGATAAGTCAGACACCTCGGTATACGTATGAGATATTTTGAAAAAACGATCTTGCAATAAATAAAGTTTTATAAAAAAATCATGTCAAATCTTTCACGTTTATTTATTCGCACTATCCGAGACGACAGACGCAAGAGATTAAGTCTCAAGTAGTAACGTCAGCGATAAGTCGGACACCTCGGTATACGTATTAGATACTTTAAAAAGCGATTTTAAATGAATAAAATTTTATAAAAAGACAATGCTAAAACTTTCACGTTTATTTATTTACGCTATTCGAGACACAATACAGGAATAGTAAGTTTCAAGTAGTAACGTCAGCATAAGTCGGACACCTTAGTATACGTATAAAATACTTTGAAAAAGCAATCTTGCAATGAATAAAATTTTATAAAAATTATGTCAAACCTTTCACGTTTATTTATTCGCGCTAATCGAGACAACAGACGCAAGAGATTAAATCTCAAGTAGTAACGTGAGCGATAAGTCGACACCTTGGTATACGTATGAGATACTTTGAAAAAGCGATCTTGGAATAAATAAAATTTATAAAAAAACCATGTCAAATTTTTCGTCTTTATTTCTTCGCGCTATCCAAGACTACCGATACGAGATATTAAGTCTTAAGTAGTAACGTCAGCAATAAGTCAGACATCTCGGTATACGTATGATACTTTGAAAAAGCGACTTTAGAGTGAATAAAATTTTATAAAAAGACCATGCCAAATCTTCCGCGTTTATTTATTCGCACTATCCAAGTCTACAGGTACGAGATATTATGTTTCAAGTAGTAACGTCAACGATAAGTCAGACACCTCGGTATATATGAGATACTTTGAAAAAGCCACCTTGGAGTGAATATAATCATGTAAAAAAAATCATATCAAATCTTCCGCGTTTATTAATTCGCGTTATCTAAGACTACAGATACGAGAGATTAAGTCTCAAGTAGTAACATCTGCGATAAGTCAGACACCTCGGTATACGTATGAAATACTTTGAAAAACGATTTTGCAGTAAATAAAATTTTATAAAATAAACCATGCCAAAACTTCCGCATTTATTCATTTGCGCTACCCAAGACTACAGATACAAAATATCAAGTCTCAAGTAGTAACATGAGCGATAAGTCAGACATCTCGGTATACGTATGAAATGAAGCGATTTCGGAGTGAATTAAATTTTATAAATCATGTATATAGTGATATAAATTGAGAAAATGAAAATTGTTATATAATTTTACACAGACAATATTATTTAAATAATAGCATTTTTGAAGAACACACATTGCATTAGGTAGAAAAGAAAAATCAATACATTTTTCGTAAATCTCCAATTCAAATTTTTTAAAAATGTTAACTATTTTATTTTAACAAAAAACAATTGTTTTAGTATAATTTATGATATAAACTATAAAATATATTTATTGAAAATTTTTACTCAAATCTCAAACCGCGTTTATTTACTCGCGCTATCCGACAAAGTTATCACCATAAAATGTTTTGCGATATAATTAAAAAATAACAATATTAATCTAAGAAAAAATATTAATATTGATCACAATAGCAGTATAGAATAGTTTTCCTTTTTAGCAACAGGTGGAAAGCATTTGAAACGCATATCACAAAAAAACAGAAAGAGAGATAGAGATATTTGAAAGAACGAGTGGCGACGGGGAAAGATGAGGTGCAAACACTCGATCTATCAAAGTTAAATTATCGTGATTCCAATGCATTACTTGCGCGATATTCGGTCAGACGTTGACCAATGCAGGCAATTTGTGGATATTTGACGAGGCGAAACCGCGATAAAGCGAAAGTCTAATCATAGCTGGCCGATAAATAAATCCGAAATCGACTAAATAGCTGGCGAGTCAGTCAGAGATTGG